ATCATCATTGCTAGCATCATCGCTATCACCATCGTTATCATCATCGCTAGCATCATCGCTATCACCATCGTTATCATCACCGTTATCATCGTCGCTATCAGGTTCTAAATGCACAGAAACGCAGGACAGTTTTCGACCCGTTAGCTGCTACTACTACTACTACTACTACTAGTACTACTACTACTACTACTACTACTACTACTACTAGTACTTTGCATTGTTGGCCACATAAACCACCACCAACTTGCCGCCGAAGTACGCGCAAACTGGTAGTTAGTCAAGGTACACATTGCGCCAGCGTTGGCCCACCTGCCCCAGACCAGCCAAAGCGACAGAGAGAGAGAGTACCTTTCCCCTTCTGCTTCCCACCCAAGGCACCGGCTCACACCACAGCACCACCTCCACCCTATTCCAAGTATTAAGGCCCCTACATTAGGGTTTAGGATGTAGGGCTTGATGGCTGGACCCGGAGCCCTCAAGCTTAAGGGGCTGTTGTTGGGTTGGGTTTCTAGAATTCTTCAGGCCCCTATATTGGGCTAATGTTGCGGGTCGTGAGAATTAGCGAGCCCATAATTGCAACGCCTTTGTTAAAACAGAGAGCCTATTTTTGGTGACCTAAAATTGGACCTTGGTTTAGAGGCTGTGGCAATGCTTCCGAGGATGTTAGGGGGCTTTACAATCACCATAAGGAAGCCAGAGGAAGGCTCTCCATAAGGCTAGTTTTGTTGGTTGAAAATTAGGGTACCGCTAAAGAGTCCGTTGTATACGAGTTCGTAGAAACGGGGGTCCTAATTTAGCGAACAAGTCAAATATTTCCGAGGATGTACTACTGCTAACAATACGAAATCTTCAACAATAAATCCGGGTTGTAGAGATGTTGAGGATGTACTACTACGACCCTAAACCCTAAACCCTAAACCGTAAGGAAACACCCTGCCTCTGCCTGATAGGCATTCTGACCAATCACCCGTGCGGAAGGAAAAGAGGCGACAAAAAAAAAAAAAACCGTTGAGCCTGCACTCCTCCACCGCATGGACCCGGACTCCCGCACACTCCCCCACCACCTTGCTCACCCACGTTATGAATCTAGAAACCGGGTGGCTAATTCAAAGCCATCCCGAGCACAGCCTTTTTGCCCGTAAACCCGAGGTTTGGACGATACGATGTGACGAGTGATGCAACGCGAGTTTCGTCGGCAGCGCGCAGGCCAATGGTGGAAAACGGCGTAGGCATCTCTGGGAGCCGTGGGCCATGATCATGCGTGCGTTGCGTTCATGGTTGCTGGGACCCGGGACCTACCTCAGATGGCAAGTGTATTATCAACATGTACTTTTGAAGGGAGACCGCTTGAACGTTGGCGAGCTCGCGCCCACGAAACTCACTAGAATCACTAGAAGGCTACGCAGGGCTTTTGGGGTTTGAGTCGATAAAGGCCTGAGGCCTGACTGTCTGTGGCCATGGCGCTAAACTGAGTCATGATGTTGAACGTTCCCCGGGTCTATCTGGTCTGCGTTGGTCTGCCAAGCCCGGCGGCCAACGGAGAGGTCTTCGATCCTCGATTCCGCACACTTAGTTACTTCAGGAGGGTTTTTGTTCGGATGCTTGTTAAAAATAGCATCTGTGACATGTCTGGGCCATCGCTGACGCGGCTCGTAGGAGCCATGCCCCAGAGACCCTAGACAATCAAGTTGAAACCATTTTTAAACTCGGTTTTAAGGCCTGAAGGTGTAGGGTCTCGGGTGTACCTGCAATGCTTTACCCTAAACGCAACACTCTGTTCAACTGGACCTATTAAACCCGTCCGCAGACCCATTACACTGAATTCCGTTCACTAGAACCTTACCTGTTCAACTAAAGCCTTAAAACCTGAAGCCCGATCCCGCAGACTTAAAATTCAGGCCCGTGCCCAAAATCACACGACGACACTTAAAACGATTGGTCAGAGTTTGGCTCGGAGTAACTTCAGTCCAAGCAGTTTTGGTAGAGTTTGTTCGACACGGTCTGGGGACACAAGCAATGCAAACAGCCGACTAGTGATAAGTTGTCGTTCGATGCAAACAGCCGACTAGTGAGAAGTTGTCGTTCGGTGACGACGCCGGCATGGCCAGTCTGGTCACCCCAACATTGCGTCGGAGCCTCGTGTCTTCAAACGTGTCAGTTTGACCAGCTGCAGCCCAAGTCAGCATGGCAGGTAGCAAGCTATGGAAAATGGGGTCCAGCACTCTGACCGCTTTATCCGAAGGACGCGGCCTCTGTGGGATGGGAGATGCTTCGAGTCGCTTGCCACCTTGTGCTTACCCAACCCATCCTGTGATCAGGCATCGCCGTTGGGGCCTGGGGCCCTCAGACGCAGGCCCTGGATCGTAATTCACGCGGCCAGGTGTTTCGTTCGCTTGCTTGCAGGATCGACGATTTTATCGCAACCGTGGTGTGCGCATGCTGACGCTGCTCGCGACATGTCGGTACATTTTCTTTGGAAGCGGTGGAAAGGTATTGAAGCTTCATTGCAGTGAATGTCGTTATGTTATCCGTCGGTGGCACGCGAGAAGCCCAGACATCAGGTTGCAGTACATTTCAAGCAGTTCCCGAATCCATCCCAGCCACGCTACCGAGATTCCAATTCTTGCCGTGGACTGCAGCGCAAACGTGAGGCACAAGCAGGCCTTCGCAGCGTAACTCCAGCTTTGCGATTGGGGAACACACTAGAGTCACTAGAGAAAGGCCCTGACCAATCCTCCGATTCGGTCTCGCTGGTGTCATCCTCGGATGCCAAGATGCCAAGATGGCACCCGTGGTGCAGTCGTGGGATTTGCACCAAGGTCTACCCAGTTCCCTGAGTACTTGCGTCCGTGGGTGGAAGGGAAGCAGTGCCCTGGTTGACAAGTTTCTGGCACACTGCTTGACTTTCCGCACAAAAATGTCACAAGGTATCCTCGACATCCTCACTACAGACAAGCATATACCTTCCAATGCTACCACAAAACTAAGCCTGCGCCTTGGACATGGATGTTTCGTAGCAAACAGCACGGCATCTAGGAGGCACGCGGTCCAGCTACTCTTGGATTTGTTTCTGCTGCTGAAGCTCCGCAGAGGCATTTGAGACTGAGATGAGCCGCACATGCGTTCAACAAGTATCACCAGCCGCCGCGAACCTGACTCGCCTTCGGGCAGAACTCAAAATGAAGTTTCTGCACATCGGGTCATTGCACATTGAGCTATGTTTACGTCAGAACTGCGTCCATACCGATGGCGTGCATCTGTTCTGCATGGTGCTAAACTTTTGCCAGCTTTCAATCTCAATTTTGCAGCTGCATGGCTGGCAGTTTTGAATCGGTCCGGGGCCAAGCTCTTGTTCCACAGCGCGTGTTGTCGAAGCTGGCTTCGATCAGAGGGATTGCAGCAACAGGTCAGGTTCGAGGCTGAAATGTTTACATCCACCCCTGTCAGGGGCCGGTGCATTTAGAGTCAGAGCCCTACAAGCCCTACCAGGCTGGGGGATCCAGCGCGGTTTCGCTGCAAGGGCTTACGATGGGCTTACGATGGCGGCAGTCGCCGGTGGCAGGAAACCCTACTAGACAATGCATCGCGCACTGCTGCCCACTCAGACTTTCTCAACATCAGCTTGTTTTCATGTGTCTTCGACAGCACGTTCGTGGCAGCTGGAAGCTGCCGGTGAGATTGCAAAAACTTTTCCAGGCGCGCGCCTGCCCGGTGCATCGCTGGGCGTGCGCTGCCGTGGCGCCGGGGAAGGGAGGAGGGTCCTGCCATGTGTAAGTGGCTTCTCTGCCTTGAGGGCGTTAAGTCTGTACAAAGTCTATGTCTCGTTTTTATGCAGCGATGAGAACGTTGGGTTGAGAGCTTCTTCAAGTGCCTTTCGCAGCAACCGGCTTAGCAGGTGCCGACATTCACTCGGAGAATCCCTGCGACCGGTCCTCCTCTCAGCTGTGTGAAGTGCGCGTGGGCTTGTCGCCTGTACACGGCGGCGCACCCCTCACCGCATGGTTCGCGAAGGCTACAGTCGGCCTGGTCCGGGCATCTCGCTGGTCGAGGCATGGTTCCATGCTGCACGGTCGATATCTAGATCGCTGCTTGTTGCTGCTTGCTCATGCTTCTTGGCCGGATTGCGCTGGAGACCAGGGCTTTCTCGACGGAAACTCACGAGTTCAAGGCAAGAAGCCCTGTGACGAAGCCACATCAGGCTGATGTTGATTGATGGGCATAAGCGAGGCTGAGACAAAGAAGCTTCTCGACATTGTAGCCAAATCCTTGTACACGGACAAGGAGGCCTCAGGCTCAGAAGCTGGCACGTGGGCCTCTTTTTCTCGGCTTTCTCGCCAGGTTTTCATAAGGGAGCTGATCTCCAACGCATCGGATGCGTGTGAAAAGCTCCGATTTCTGTGCGAGCCTCGTTGGACGGCTGCCTGTCGCTTCGTGCGAAGCTTCTGAAGCAGATGATTGTGCACGCAGTGAGGCAGGGAACGCAGCAAATCAAGGATGTCAATGATGCAGACGTCCCGTCGGGGCCTCAAAATTGAATTTCACGTGCTTCTATGGCAAATCCCTATTACATCCAGGGAAATTGCCCTTTGCACCAACATCAGCTCCTGCTGCACTTCAGGCTTCAGGTTACCCTGAGCGTGAGCGAGAGCGACAGGCGCCAGTGCCAGTCTTCTTCTGGTCCGCACATGTCTGCATGCAGTGTGTGTGTGTGTAGGTATGTCTGCAGGATGCAGGTAGGTAGGCATGGTGCTGTGGTGCCGATCCAAGTACCAAAGGTATCATGGCCCGGTGGTTCTAGTGTCGGCTTTGCTTGTATGCTGCCTTCATCCCTGCATGATGCTGTATGCACCTGCAAATGTCGCAGGAAATTCATCATCGAAGATTCAGGCATCGGCATGACTCACGATGAGCTAGTCGACTGCTCAGTGATTATTCGGCCATCGCTTCCTGCAGATGAAATGAACTGTCATCCTGACCGCAGCTTCGGCCTTCATGATGAAGATGCATGTGGAAGGATTTGCATGATCACTCTACCATGGTGAAAGGGTACCAGCCGAATTTCAGTCCCAGCCGCTTGGGCTGCAGTTGAAAGTGCGCTGGCGCAGGTGTTGGTTCGGACTGGGCCAGCTTTTCTACGCTGTGTTTCTACTCTGTTCTTGCTTTGCATATCATGTTTGAAAGAGTAGGTTCCAGGATGACCGCAAGAACGAGTTGTCGGTTGCCTGCTGCAAGCTAGTGCTTGGTGTACCGAGGTCAAGCGCAGAAGCTTTGTCAGAAGGTGCGGGGTACTTCCCGGACATCCCAAGAAATTGCTCTGCTGCTCCAGCCTCTCCTCGAAGACTGGAAGAGCGAACCGAAGCTCGCCACAAGCACGTTAAAAAACTTACGAGCCGATGCTGCCCTTGTCCTGAACATCCTTGGAGCAATGAGTGCCTTCAGATTGGAAATGATAGCACAATATTTCAATATTGCCATCGACAGCTGCGGAAGATCTGGTCGCTGGGCCCAGGCCCTGTTGGTGTTGCGGAGCATGAGTCTCTCGGAGGTTTTGCCCAGTGCAGTGAGCTACACAAATGCCATCAATGCTTGCCGAAAAGCCTCCAAGTGGACTCAAACTTTACATCTGCTTTGGCATGCGCTGGAGTCGAGACTCTCTCCGGATGCAGTGTTGTTCGGTGCTGCCATGAACGCTTGTGCCGGACATGGCAAGTGGGAAGCAGCTTTTTGCATCTTGTCGAACATGCATCGTCACCACGTTGAACCTGGTGTCGTATCATACAACATTATACTGAATGCTTTAGACAAAGGTGGAAAGTGGAGAAAGGCGCTGGAGCTGTACTTCAACCTACCTTCTCATGGTGTACTTGCCAATGCTGTATCGAGCAATACAGCCATCACAGCCGCAGCTCGGCACTCGCAGTGGCAAGGGATTCTGGACGTACTGGCTCGCCTGCCCGGTTTGGGTCCCGCTTCTGCCGATGCAGACACCTTCGCGAACTCCCTGCAAGGTTTAGCAAAGGCCTGGCGTTGGGAAGAGGCGACATCCTTGCTCGTTGCTCGCATGTCGTCGAAAGGGGGTATGGAGACAAGCCTCAGTGTCCTTGAGATCAGCGCTGCCATGACAGCCTGTTCCAGGAGCACGAAGTGGGAGTGGGCTTTAAGCCTGCTTGGTGATGCCCAGAGGATGAACGCAGATGATGGTCCCCTGTACACCACGGCCATCACTGCATGTGGGCGCTCCACGAAGTGGAGGGTCTCCCTCTCACTGTTTGCAGATGTTTTTGCAAAACGACTTCCCGCTGACATTGTTACCTACACGACAGCTCTTGCAGCATGTGAAGGAGGTTCTTGGCAGCAGTCCATATGCTTGCTTTCCAACCTGAGGCAAAGCCGCTTGAACGGGACTCTCTCGACCTATGCACTTGTCACGAGGGCTTGCGCCAGTGCGGAGCAATGGCAGAGTGCACTATCATTGTTAACAGAGCTTCGGGATGAGGCGGTTGAGCCTGATGTCGTGCTTTGCACCTCCGTGGCGTGCGCATGCACAGCCGGTGGTCATTGGCACAAAGCGTTGCATCTTTTCCTGGAGATGCAGCTTCAGCGAATTAAAGCAGATGGGCCTGCCGTAAATGCAGCTATTGCTGCCTGTGACAAGGGCGGGGACTGGCGGAGAGCGCTGCTATTCTTTGCTGATTTCCCGTGTGAACGCAACCAGAGCACGTGCACTGCTGCAATCAGTGCTTGTAGCGGTTCGCAGCAGTGGCAGCAGGCTTTGCGTTTGCTGAAGCTGTGGCAGGATGATGACAGGGGTGGAGGTCCTCCGCTGGCATCTTGCTTGCCGTGCACGGCAGCCGTGTCTGTGTGTGGACGAGCCAGGCAATGGGAACGTGCACTTGCACTTCTGGACAGCATGTCCAAGGCTTCTGTGGCAGACACCGCCATGTTCAATGCAGCCATAAGTGCAGCCGGACACACGCAGTGGCAGCTTGCCCTGGAAGTGTTTGCCAGACTTACATGGTCAGACGTGCCTCCGGATGCCATATCGTATTCAGCAACTATGAACGCTTGCGTTGAGGCATCTCAGTGGAGCACAAGTATTCTGTTGTTGGAAGAGTGTTTGAAAGCGACCATTGAAACAAGTGTGCCTCTGTTAAACACGGCCATCAGTGCATGGGTGCGATGTGCTGCGTGGCAGCCTGCTTTGTCTCTCATGGCGCAGCTGCAAGAGCAGCACCTCGAGTGCAATGAGATCACGCAGAGTGCGCTTATACATGCATGTGGGTGCAGTCTGAGGTGGAACGCAGGTCTCCAGATCTTGGAAGCGAGGCGAGCCTGTGATTTAAGAGCGAACAGTGTGGCGTTCGGTGCCATCGCATACTCTGGCTACCGGAGCCAGATGTGGCACCTTGCTATCAGCGTCCTTGAATCTATGTGCACTGCAAAGATGCAGCCGTCCCTTGCAACATACGACTATGCCCTGCTCGCCGCAGAGGGTGCTGGGCACAGGGAGCAAGCTTTCCAGGTACTGTTTACATCAGAGGAGCAGCGGAACCCGCACAGCTTCTTATGGGCAGTGGCCACTCTTCGCACCTCAGATCCAGTGGTGATCCACGCTGCTTGCACGGAGGCGCTTACAGAGCTGTGCAAGCTGGACGAGATGGCAGATACCGACAGCAAGACGCTGTCAAGGACTTGGTGGTCTGTCGGAATACTGGGTGCACGCGGCCCTGCGTTTGAGAGACTAATGCTCCAGCAAGCTGTGGTGCAACTTCGCTCTTTCTCCTCAGAGGAGCTGAGCATGATATCTGCAGGTGCTTCTATGACGGGAGCTTTTGGTTTCCTAAACCTTCTGCAGGAGGAACTCGCAACTCGTGCAAGCGTTAGTGGAGAAGCATTGAATGACTTGTCTTTCAGTGACGCCATGGAAGTCCTGGGCATCCTCTTCTCTTGCAGAAGTGTCGGGTGCCTGCGTGCCACGTCTTCCTCGGTTATTCAGGGGAGGATGAGGAGCCTTGGACGGCTGCTGGATGCTTCCAACTTGCACACTTCTCCTGGTACAGGTACATGGAATCCGGAGCATGCTGAGGCATCGAGCGAGCAACCTCGAGTGGCTCTCAGCCTCGCAGACCGCTTTGTGGTGCACAAGCCGGATGGCTGGGAGGTGTATGGAGCGCACGTGAAGCTGCAGCTGCTGGAATTCGTGCAGGGCATGTTTGGTCGTACACCCATCTTCCAGGATCCGGGACACAACTATGGCTTTTTGCATCGCCTGGATGTGCCGAGCTCCGGCTTGATCTTGGTGGCAAAGACATACGAGGCCTTCTATGACCTTCAAACCCAGCTGCACGCTGGCGAGGTGGGTCGGGACTACACAGTCCTGTGCCACGGATGGCTTCCAAGGTCTGTCAGGGAGATAAGCGCCAGCACCTGGTGTGAGGATGATCGCCCGACTCTGTCTGGTGGTCGGGGAAAGCCGAGTGCCACACAAGTTTGCGGTCACAGCCACTATTTGCATGAGGTTGGAGCCTTGAGCAAGGTCCTCCTGGGCATTGCAACGGGTCGCAAGCATCAGATACGTAGTCACATGGCTCACATTGGCCACCCGACTGTCCGTGATCGGACCTATGCAGGCAAGACAGCGTTCAACTTTGATGTCCTGCTATGCTCACGGAATTGGCTGCATCGCCACCGGCTTCGATTTCGCGACCTGCAGGGCAGAAAGTCGGACATCTGCAGCCATGTGCCAGAAGACCTAGAGGCATCCTTAGAACGCGCAACGCTGATCAGATGCCTAGTTACTGGACACGGCTCAGGACCGAAAAGAGAGCACAGGTTTTTTTGATGAAACTCGGGATCTGCATGGTATGGCAGTGAAGACTGACAGTCTGCAGAGAGAGCAGGGGTCGGGCTACACTAAGGTAGGTGCGGATGCGTGAATCGGAACTCCCAGCTCCGGAATAGCGGAATCTTGCATGATGTTGGCCGCCTTTCCGTTCCTGCTGTTGCTTCACACTCAACGCAACAGTTTTTCATCCTCACAAGGGCCCCAAACGTGTCCCAGATCCCCGAACATCATGCTGTTGGAAGAGCGTTCGGTCTCATGTATCTTCAGTGCAGCTGGATGGTCAAACCTGTGGAGGCGGTAGTAGGAGGGAGCCCAGATCCATGGCAGCATGCGCTTGAGAGGAGCTCCCAGGCCACAGGCAGGTTGCCTGGCAGATTGTACAGCGCATCTGCGAGAACAGCCTCCGTTTCCAGGCAGTGGGGGGCGTGCCTGGAAGTCCTGCGTCAGTTCAGTCTGACCGGATGCGTGGATTCGTGGTCTTTGGTGATCACCTACGGTGCTTCAATCAGTGGCTGTGCTGATTCATGGCGCTGGCGGACTAGCCTGTCTTTGGCCAGGACTTTGCAACATGCAGCGTTGCAGCTAAACACTGTCGTTTGCAATGCCTGCATTAGCACTGCTCAGACGCGCGGACAGTGGCAGCAGAGTTTGGTGATGCTTGACCAGATCGCAGAGGCAACCCTTGAGGTAGATGTATTCAGCTGCGGTGGTGCCATTGGTGCATGTGAGAAGAGCGGCCGGTGGGACAATGCTCTGCTGCTGCTCGAAGACTTGGAGTTGAAGGCACTCCAGGCAAACATTGTCACCTTCAGCGCAGCTCTGAGTGCATGCGCTCGCGATGGAAAGTGGCAGCAAGCCCTGATCACGGAGATGCAGCAGCGTCAAATACAGCCAACCACCGTCACCTACAACTCTTTAATCACCTCGTGCCATGTAGGCCAAGCGTGGCAGCGTTCCTTAGCCTCCTCCGAAAAACTCCGAAGAAACCAGCTGTATCAAAGCGAAGTAACGATTGGTGCTGTCGGAACTGCAGCTCGGGGTAGCATGCAGTGGCAGCAATCCTTGAGAATTCACAGCCAATTTGCAGCACATGGGTTGGATAATAGGGTTTTGCATACCTCTGCAGTGCTTGCCTGTGCTGGCAGAGACCAGTGGCAATTGGCTTGCCAGTTGCTGTCAGTGCTGCATGCAAGCTTCGTGCGCCTTGGGACGGACGTTTGCAATGCGTGCATCACCGCATTGGGCAGACAGTCGTTGTGGCAACACGGTGCAATTGTCTTTTCACAGCTTCAGCATGGGACACTTCCAGATGACTTAGTTCGCTGCAATGTGATGCTGGACGGCTTCGAGAAGGGTGGAATGTGGCAAAGGGCCCTCTGCATCCTCGGGATCGTGGCAATGACACGACTTCTGCCTGACGTAGTCACCTGCACCTCCAGCATCAGCGCTTGTGGAAGGGCAGGTTCCTGGCTGCACTCTGGGCTTATCTTGCAGCAGTTGGATGATTTGGGTCTCCAAAGCAACATCATCTTGCACAATGCCGTGATAGCTGCTTGGGAGAGGAGTCACCAGTGGGAGCTTTCAATGAGAACCATAGGTCTCATGCATCAGAAGCGACTCGAACATTCCTTGAACGCTTTTGACTCGGCACTGCTTGCCTGCCAGCATAGCGGACGCACCGACCTTGCCTGGCAGCTATGCCGCGACTCCGAAGCGTTTCGATCTCCTGTCTCTTTCCTTTGGTCCCTGGCGTCACTGGGTGTTTCTGATCCGACGGTAATCAACGCTGCGTGCGCGTCGGCTGCTGTGTGCGAAGTGGAGGAGGTGCCATACCTTATGTGGTCTTGCGCCATTCTGGGCGTGGAACCAAGTCCGCATCTTCGCCGATTCTTAAGGCGTTCGCTTGCCTCTCCAAAGTTCCTCGCGTTGGAAATGCAAGCCGTGAGCATGGCCGTGTACGGTGCTGGTGTGCTGCGCGGCGGCGCTTTGGAGTTTCTGAGCCGAGTGCAGGAGGCGCTGCGAGTGCGCTTACACTCACAGGCAGGCATGGAGCTTGAGCAACTCGCATTCCATCGCGCGGAAGGCCAGGAATTGCTGGGCGTCTTGTTTTCCTGCAGCCTTGAGGGTGCCTTGCGAGCAGGGTTCCGAGAGGCTGTGGCTTGCAAGCTACAGGATCTGGCTGTGGCTTTCGATCGATGTCGATTTCAATCTCGTGTCTGCATCGACCCCAAAAACCAGACTACTGCTAGCTGGGAAAGTGCGACCCGAAACCGAAAGAATCCTGAAATCTTTGCCGAGACACGGGACCGCTTTGTGGTGCACAAGCCGGATGGCTGGGAGGTGTATGGAGCGCACGTGAAGCTGCAGCTGCTGGAATTCGTGCAGGGCATGTTTGGTCGTGCGCCCATCTTCCAGGATCCGGGACACAACTATGGCTTTCTGCATCGCCTGGATGTGCCGAGCTCTGGCTTGATCTTGGTGGCAAAGACATACGAGGCCTTCTATGACCTTCAAACCCAGCTGCACGCTGGCGAGGTGGGTCGGGACTACACAGTCCTGTGCCACGGCTGGCTTCCAAGTTCTGTCAGGGAGATAAGCGCCAGCACAGTCTGCTTGACGGATGCTCCGACGGTGGCCGGAGGCCGTGGGCGGAAGAGCATCACGCATCTTCGGATCTGTGAACACTACGCGGTGAGCACGACCATTCTCAGCCGTTCACATGTCAGCATCATCACGGGAAGGAAACATCAGATTCGTTGCCACATGGCGCATGTGGGCCACCCCATTGTTCGAGACAAAATCTACACAAGTTTTCGCACCTTCCAGGAGGATGCCGCATTTTGCATGCGCAATTGGCTGCACCGATTCCGGCTCTCATTCACGGACGCAGAGGGTGTTGCTTGCGAAGTGAGTGCAGACTTGCCCGCGGATTTAAGCCGGTCGTTGGTAAACCTGTCTTTACACAGGTTTCGAGTTGTGCTTGTTACTGGGACTGCGGGGGACAAGCGCGAGCATGACAAGAGCGTGTTTAAGGGTGCATGAATCTTGACGCAGTTTCCTGAAATGCCTTGCTTGTCAACCGGGTGGCTGAGGTCGAGCATCTGGGCACCATCGCAAAGAGCGGTTCCCTAGATTTTCTTCAGCGCCAAGTGCTTACACAGCAGCTCTCACGTCATCTCCGTGTCCCGAATGATCTAGAGTGTCTGACAGGTGGAGAATCTGATGCGAGCAAGATCATTGGGCAGTCAGGATCTCAGAGTCTCAGGCTGTGGTCTAGTTTGACGTCCGGAGGAGCAGCAACAGGTTTAATGTGCTCTTTGGATGCTTCTGCTTCGTCTCTAGCTACTCGTATCTTCGGACGATTTCAGGCGTTTCAGGAACCCAGAAGGGGCTTCGGCGGCCGAGACAAGGTTCCAGGTATGGGAGTCCTTTTCCAAGCGAGTGAAAAGTCGGGTGCGGGCCGTCTGGCTTCACAATGCGGAACTGCGCCTGTTCCCATTGTCTGGTCCGCATTGTGGGATCAGCTTAGTGGCTCTGGTGCATTATCGATCCCACGGCTGTAGCTCTGCACCCTCGAGGTTTGGTGTGGGCTTTTACTCGACGTTCGTGGTGGCAGACAAGGTGGAGGTGCGACAGACAGTGCGACAGCCTACTGTTACAAGCTTCGCTGAAGCTGCTTGCATGCAGCAGGTTTACACCAAGACGGCTGACAAGGAGAAGGGTGCACAGGGCTACCTGTGGACTTCAGACGGTGCAAAGCTCGAATGCTCCAGGCCGTCCCAGTCCCCTGTTTCTAGTTTTGTGTCTCGAGCTCCAAGGTTCTGGCAGTTTCACTGTCACCGAAGTGGACGATGTGCCTCGGGGTACCCGCATAGAGTTGTTGCCTCGACTGCTTTCCGGGAATGCGCATCAGTTTCCAACCTTCAGCTCTGCCTGTGTGGCTAAGCGTTGGGCACAAGAGCTCCATCAGGCTAACCCTCAAAGATGATGCCACCGAATTTGCCAAGTTGGCCCAGCACTTGGATGTACGTCATCTCGTGACGGGTGCCGGCTTGGAGCATCCGATGGCCAGGTAACGGTGAAGAAGTCCGCCCAGAAGCCGCTGCTTCAGATTGCAGGCTGGGCGTCTGGTGGACGACTCGGCTTCACGAGCTGAGGTTCTCTTCTTTCATTGACTTTCCAATCAACATCCGCGAGGACTCATCTGATCCCATTGACTTGAGAATGGTGTGTTTGGGTCATGCAACTCCAGGATGGAGATCCAAAGCCGATCAACAAGCAGGAGGCGAGAAGCTGGAAGCATGGTGCCGGAAGCATTCTGAACCAAAGAGTTGTCACCGAGATCCAGGAAAGCAGCCCTCTATCTGGAGTTTTTGCAACTATGGTAGCTGATCACTGGAACCCCTAGACAGTCTTGCAGCCCACTCCGTAGATCCATCGTCGACAGGCTCTGTGGATGAAGAGCTCTGCGACAGAGGAGCAGCACCTGGAGCTCCTCGACACCAGAATGGTTCCCTGTGGCTGGTAACATTGCCCCGGGAAACGCCTTTTTTGTGCTGGCTCGTGATGGGGCAGGTTCTTTCGTTTCCTCAGTGGCAACTCCTATGGAAAGCCATACTACACTTTGCGGGCGCCTCAAAAGTTTCGAACCATGTTGATACTGACTTGAGAGTGCCAAGCCCCAGGATGTATCAGACGGACGCCCCGCTGTCCATCAAAAGCTGCTGAGCTACACAGTGCGACAAGTGCGTCCGGCTGTTGCTTCCGATTCAACCTCCCCCAAGAATTGAAGAGGTTTGTTGTTGCGTCTCAGCTCAGGTTGTTTCTATGTCCCCGATCCTGACAACGCCCCGAGCAGGGTGTTCACCAAGGATCCCGAAATAGGTGTGGGGTGCTCAGCTGCATGTGGTGTCCTCGCCGTTCTTCCTGCTTCGCCGAGATTTCGCTGCATTCGCGGCGGGTCATGGTCAAGAAGCATGCAGATGGCGTCATCCCGAAGTGGCTTCACTGGATGAAGGCCCTTAGACAAGAGCTTTGAGTGTGCATTGCATGTGTGGGGGTGGGTCTTCCTTTGCAAGCCCCGCGGAAGCTGACAGGGAATTGTGGATTGCGAGGACATGCCCATGTGCCTCACCGGCATCTAGCTGAATCTAGAGACATGCCGAATATTTGCGAACTGACAGGAACATCAGCCGAGAAAACATGCAAGACACCCGCCTGATGGAAAAGTCTGAACCTGTGAGTTTGGAGCAGGGGAAGTTGTCCCAATCGTACTACACTTTGCCGGCATCTGCTCAGGCTCAGCATGGCGGTTGTGAGGCGGGTTCTGAGGTTCCTGCAGCAGGAGGTCGGCTGCAGTGCAAGCGACATGACCAGATGGGTCAGTACGCTACTGGTCTCGGATGGCAGGCCAAGAAAGACTCGGAGAAGTACAACAAGTTCTTCAAGGGCTACTCCTACTTCCTGAAGGCTTCAGATTCTGTCGGTTGACGCCCACAAATCTTCTCGAGAGCTTTTCCATACCCTGGACCTGCCTTCACAGGCCGGCATCATCGAGGACAAAGAAGGAAACTTCAGCCGCAGCGGTCTCAAGCTCTTGCAGAGGCCCTAAACCCCGAGTCTCGGAAATCTTAGGTCACAAGGACGACCTCCTGAAGCTGTTGCGCTTCGAGCCCGAGCTCTCGGCCCTCCGCCGAGCCCAGTCCGGGTCTAGAACGCATGGGGCCCAAGGTGCTCCAACAAGCCCAAGGGTGAGTTGGTTTCCTTGGAGGCTCGCTTCTCCCTCATGCGCCTAGACGGGTCCGGAGTTTCGTGTGTCTTCCGCAGGAGTACATGAGCATGGCGAAGGAGGGGCAGCAGAACATTTACTACTTCTGCTGCGCAGCCCCGAGTCCCAAGCGGCCTTCCGGGGGCTCTGCGGAGCTTCTCTTTCCGTCGCTGCTAGGCCCTGACCGGCAAACAGCACTGTCCTCCCCGTACATGGAACAGCCGGAGGCTTGGAAGCCTCCTTTCAGGAACGGTTACTTATTATTCTGACTTACATACACGCATTTTCCTTTGAAGATCCCCGACTGTCGCCGAGGTTCGTGCAGAGGCAGCGGCTGCCCCAGCTCAGGGAACTGTTGTGCCTCCTTTCGCCGCGTTCGACTGGCAGCTGCAGGCGGAATGTTCTTCTCCTGTACGAGGACATCGACGAGTTCGTTGCCGGGCACCCGTGACGTCTCCCAAGAGGACAATGGAGTCCGACAAAGCCCTGAGTGCTGGAGGTCAATGCGATTGAGGGCTTCAAGGTCTGTTACTTGGGATACTAAGGTCAGTTGAGAGTGAGAGTGCGGCCCCTCCTCTGTGCGACGATCTCCAAAGGACAGCAAGTTCGTGTCCGTGGACTCTGCGGACAAGAACTTCGAGTGGAAGCCTCCGGTGGCCTCCAACGCGAGCCTGAAGCCTTGAGCTACCGAGGCTGGACTTGGATAAGCCTGAGGAGGATGACAAGGAGGCCGCGCCGTGAGCAGGGGGCCTGAATTAGTCCGCCTCAGCTTGCGGCATGTAGCCGAACCTTGAGGACAGGAGAGAGCTCAATGAGCAAGAAAAGGAAGCGATGCAGAAGTTCATTAGAGATGTGCTGAAAGAGAAGGCGGAAAGTAAGAGGTCATGTGTGTGGTACATCAAATCTGGAAGCATCTGCAGGTGCAGGAAGTTAAGTTCTCGGACCGCCTTGTGAACTCCCCAGCTCTGGTGCCGGCAGCTCAGAATCCGAAGGAGGGTTTTCGTGGTGTAGATTCTGCCATACTCCACAGTCTTCCGGGTGAGGAAAGCAGACTCAGAGCTGCAGGACCAGCATCATCACACCGCACATGCGCAAGATGATGAAGAGCCTTATGGCTGGCAAGGCTAGCACATGCCACTGCATTAGGGTTTACCACTGGTCGGCTTCGTGATCTGAAGTACGTAACCGCAAGGAGAACGATGGCCTGTCGGTGCCCCAGAGACAGTGGCGGTAACAGTGGGCAGGAGGGTGCTCTCTCCTCTCCTCTGCTGAGGGGCAACATCCCAATGACGCTGGAGCTCAGCCCGAAGCATCACATCGTCACAACGCGGCAGCCCCGGGAGGAAGCTGAAAGCCTTGGCTTCTGCCTTCGGCTCTGTTCCCTCTTTGCGTGTCGGGGAGTGTTCACGAGAGATGGGTGTGTTGATGCTTCCTCTGGAGTATCATCATTCTTCTGAGATCTTCCTACCTAGACACTGTCACTACGGAAACCAAAGGAATCGCATGGTTCTTCAAACTCTGGCCGCACGTCTGCGCAGAGGGTTGCCTATAGCCTGTGGGAAGGCATTGGAAGCCTTTCTGGGCCTGGCTTTGAACGTACCGTTCATTCCTTTCATCTCTCATGGAAGTCTTTGTTGATTGTTAGCGCCTTGGCGAATCAGGATTCAAAAACACTCACATGAATTGGAGCAAGGTTGCACGGCTTAAGCCAGCGTGGTTGTTGGGGGGGCAGCCCTCCCCGTTTGCAAACAGAATGCTCGAATGATAGGTTTGATATGATTCAAAAACACTCACAGGGAAATACAGAGAACCCGCCCTCCCCTCAACAAAGAAAGGCAAAACGATTTTTCGCCAAACAAAAGTTTCCACTCCTTCATTCGGCCGCTTCAGGGCTTCAAGAGCTCGAGTAGCTTCGGCTTTATCTTTGTCTTTCGTGCTCTCCTTCCTCCGTTCAGCACTCGCTTCGCTTTCAGCCAAGGCTCCCTTTCCGATTTGTGTAGTTGCTTTTCGCCCATCGCCTCGGCTCTACACTTGCTGTAGCACCGCTCGGTCGCTCTGGGCCTCGGAGGCTGGCGACGATCCTGGCTTCCAACGAGCCGGTCGCGCGCATTGCGGCCGGGGCCCTGGTCGGCTGTTGGCCCGCGCCGTTTGTGACTTGGGGCCCAGCTCAAAAGCTAAAGCCGGGGAGCCACAGTTTGTGAGGTGGAGCAGCTCTACGACAATGCTTGCATTGCCGCCGGCACGCTCGACGACCCTCGTGTGCTGATGTCCAGACTGAACAAGGCTGCGGCTCGTGTTGCACAGTTTGAAGGAAAAGCTAGCAGCCACTCTGAGGTGCTTGAGATGTTCATCTACCAGGGTGCCGGTTTTGATTATGCCTACCACTAAGCCGTGCAGCGTGGAGGAGCTCGGCGGCTTCTCGCCAATAGTTTTTTGCCAAGGCCACGGGTCGGTACCATTTGGAACCACCTCTACCACCTCCGAAGGCAAGGACAGTTCATCGCATGAACCGCCCTTTGCCTTGTTCGACCGATCTCTGAGCAGATCGACTGGTGAGGGGACAAAAGACCCGACAAGAAAATGCGATGCTGGCTGTTTGAGGCGGAGGAGGCCCAGCCCGCTGCCGAGGAGACTCCACGAGAAAGTGCTAAGGCCCGGAGCGGGCAGAGGAAGTTGCGAGTTTCGGGGTTGCCGGGTTCTGGTGGTCAGTTTCGTCCAGTTTCGGGGTTCATGGATCGCGGCTGCAGCTTCGGATAACAAGCGCCCGGTGATCAGTTTCGCTTCAATGCCTCCGGGCACGGTCTGCAAAGTCTCCAACAACACTCGGCTCTCTAATCACCCCAAAAGAGAGCCCCCGACGACGCATGCGCGCCATGCGCCATGTCTCGAGCGCTCCTCGAGGCCACCCACCCGGGCCCATCTCTGCTCGTTAGCGAATGCAGATGATCATTCTTTTAAATCCAGGTCTCCGACTAGACGGTAACATTTGGTTTGACCATTTGTCGTTTGCCCGTCTCATCATCGAGCGATCATGGTTGGTGGTCGACCTCACCATTTCTGTAACCGACACCTGATGGCGGTTCGTCGCCTTCCGTAAACTCGCCTCCTCATCAGGCGGAAGCAGTTCATCACATTTCTTAGACCCGTCCCGTCATCAGCCGATGACGGTGGCGTTGGCGGTTTATCACATGTCTCAAACCAGCCCCCTCTTTAAGTTGACTGTTTCATGGTGGTTCATCATACTTCGCAGACCCGCGGTCTCATGAGGCATTAGCACATGTCAGAACAGATTGCCGTTGATCACACCGTTTATTCGGCCCACCCCCTCGTTTCGCGATGGTGGTTGATCTCGCAACAGCAAAGTACCAGTGTAGAAAGTCTGTTTTGCCATTGCCTTCACCACTGCCACTAATTACCATTTCCAGCACCATGCTATATGTCACAAGGGTAACGCAATACCGTACCCCATACCCTCTAGAAAACTTTGACAGATCCATGTAAAGCAACAGGACCCTCTAGTCATCCGTGATCAGGCTACAGTTGTGACAAACGCTCACGTTTCTCTGAAACCCGCCCCTCATTATGGGGAAGCGTTGACGACGTCTCTCCAGCCCGCTTCGTAACTTGGTGATGGCGGCCGTTACACGTTTCGTAAGGCACGCCCGTGCCTCCGGCGATGGCGATTGATCACAGTCTGTAAACCCGCCCGTGTTGAAACGAGGTATCGCTTTGTTTCTTAAGCGGCCTCTTCGTTACAGGCGATGGTGATTGATCGCAAATTGTTTTACTCACGCCCTCAGGCAAAAACGGTCGATCTCGCACCGGGCGAAAGCAGTTGATGACGTTTTTTAGAATCGCCCCCTCATCAGCCGATCGCGGTTGATCGACATGTCTGCAAACTCGCCTCCGCTTGTGGACATAGCGGTTGATCACATGTTCTTCAAACCAGCCCCTCATTACGCGACGGTGGTTGGTCGCTCTTCGCAAACCCGCCCCCTCATTAGCGATGGCTGTGGATCATATCTCCTCATTCCGCCAAGCCCCGTCATGCTCATCGGAAATGCTCGACCTTTGATGAAGTCGAACCGGCCCCGCCCTTTTTTTTGTGGCAATGGTCGCTGAAGTCTCTTTGGCACACGCGTGTACGAGTCGTCCGCCGGGGCCCGGTCGAGATCCGGTCGCAGGTGAAGAGCTGCCCTGCAACCCATTGGGCCGTGGTCTTCACCATGGCGTTTTGGGTGCCAAAAACACAGCGAAGTCAAGAGACCGTCGCCTTCACCGTGGTATGCTGCTGAAAGCACACGGTGAAGGCAAGCGGTGTTGCCTTCACCATGGCTGTGGTGGCAACACCACACGGTGAACATCCGTTTCCTTCACTATGAAGGCAAGGGTTGCTGCCAAAAAGCACACGGTGTAGGCAAGCGGCTGTTGCCTTTCACCATGGTCTTGGTGCCAACAACGTTGAAGGCAAGCGGCCGTTTCCTTCGCCATGGCTTTGGCGCCAAGTGCAGAAAATGGTTCTGGATTTGAAGATCAATACACAAAGAAGCGACCATGTTCTCTAGCTTGCGCAGCGTCTATGTGCAAACGCAGTTGATACCACGTTTCTTACCTCCACGTCCTCATCAGACGATGGCGGCTTATCAAGTTTCCTAAGCCCTGACCCTCCTGACTCATGGCAGTTGATGCTAAGCCGGCCCTTCTTGTGGCGAACGCGGTTGATCACACATGTCTCAAATGGCCTTCTCAACGGACGATGGCGGAACCCAGCCTCAGACGATGACGGCCTATCACGTTTCTTAAGCCCGGCCCCTCTTTAGGCCATGGCAGACCCACGTGTTCAGCTCTGCTCCTTTTTGACGATTGGTTCACAGTCGTCGTCGTTGGTCGCGGTCGTGTTGCTGGCCTGTTGTTGGTGTTTGGTCGTGCGCGTGTTTCGCTGTCGTCGTGCCTGTCGTCGTCCTCGTTGTGCTTGGTTGGTGTTACTCAACGGTCCGTGTCGAGGCCTTCGAAGGTCCGTTTATCTGAGTCCTTCGTGGTTTAGCATCAATCAAGCGTTGTGGAAGGAAACATAATGTGCGACCGAAACTGCCGACCCTGGTTCCCGAAACTCGGAAACCTTTGCCTCGAAACTGGCCGGGTTTGTTCCAAAACTGCTCCCGTGATCCGAAACCCCGAGCTCGCGATCCGAAGCTAGAACCCCCAGACTGAAACCGTGGGCACCCTGAGGGGCATCCTGTGTCTGAGGACAGCACTGCTAGCGGTTCCGGCACCTCCTCCAAGTTCGAGGAGATCAAGCCAGGAAGCTCGCCGTAGGACCTGCTCAGCCGGAAAGAGCTTCCGATGTGCACTTCGACTCCCAAGTTGCGGGTGTGGCCGAAAACACTTTGGCCGTGCTGACGCGAGAACGAGGGCTCTTGGTAGGCTTTGACATCCCGTCGCTTCGGCAAGCCAGACCGTTTCAAATTGAAGCTTGGTCTGCAGCCAGTGATCGTTAACAAGTCGGCTCCGCAGTCCCTTGCGACTGGTGCGGGGCCGCAGATACCGAACTTGTGCTGCGTCCTGCAGGAAAGGGTCGTGTGAATGGTTCGTGCACGCAGTGTGTGCTGTCTCGGTCGAGGTCGAGCTTTGGTAGAGTTCCAAGATTCTAATTGTGCGATGCAAGGCTTTACACTTTCGGCGGGCTAGTCGAGGGTGACCCAGCACTTTCATTGTCTTTCGACTGATTGAAATTCTAGAATGCATGACATTGGCGCGTTCTGGCTCGATCTCAGTCCCTCGGCGCTGGGTGCTGAGGCGGGATGGCGGGGGTGCACTCTAGAGGAACGCGATTGTCTCGCAAGCAGGAGCGCCAAAATGGCTGAGAAAGAGGGCGAAGAACTCCCGGAGGCTGGCTCACGCAAAGAGATGTTTTTCTCCAAGCTGAAGAATAGAAAAAGCTGGCAATAGCTAGCAATTAAATGATGACATCGTCCATCAGGTTGCATTTGCCCTATCACGGTTTTGGGACTTCCATTTGATATCCTTGCCTTGTAGGTTGCTCATGGTCAAACAGGCCCTTTCACGATTAGGGCCTGGTCAGCACAGGGAGCACGAATCGAAGTCAATTGAAGCAAGCGAAAGACTTCGCAAGAAGGAGTGAACCCCGGATTCAGTTTCCTTGCATGGAAAGTCGTCCCAGCAAGGCATCGCCTTGTCTAGAGCTTCTGATCAGAAACAAGCGAGACTCGGAGATAGAGCTCTGCCAAGGGCCGGGCATTTCGGGGCAGGTGCTGCAAATACTCTGAAGGAAGCTTCGTCCCTGAAGTGGACGGCCGAAGACCATCTCAACGCCAAAAGCGCGCCTGGTTGTCAGGCCTCAGGCCCGCCCCAGGTGCCCGCGACTCAGAGGAGGGCAGAAAGGACAGCCTTGGCGGCAAACGGTGGAAGCAGTCTGTGACGCATTGACAATGACTGCGTGAATGTGTGCCTTCTTGCAATACATGCGTGCACGCCTGCTAGTATGCCTTTGGTACTTCTGTATATCTATATCTGTATGTGAATATATATATATATGAATTATATGATTGTATGAATGAATCATTAAATAAAAACAAAAAATATATATGTATGTATGTATGTATGTATGTATGTATGTATGTATGCATGCTTGTCTAGCTATGTATCTATCTGTGTGTGCATATGTCTGTTTGTTTACCCGTCTAACTGTCCATCTCTCTCTATCTCCACATCTCTCTGTCTCTGTGCCTCTCTATCTCTCTCTATCTGACTCTACCTCTCTCTATCTCTCTCTCTCTCTCTGTCTATCTGTCTCTCTCTTTCTGTATACCTGTACATGTGTATACATACATGGTATGCATGTATATGTTTTTATCCATCCATCCATCCATCTATCAAGCTATCTACCTATGATTATATACTCTCACACATATAGAAGCACGGATGCATGCATGATCATGCCATGATGCCGGGCAAGTTTCTTTCTGGTCTAAGGCTGGGGCCGGGGCTTGGCGATGCAAAGCAGGAGGCAACTGAGGCCAAGGACCTCGGGAAGACGTTCGGATTCGTTGTGCATGACTCTTTCAAAGTGGTCTGCGAGAGCCGCGAGGCGAGGCGAGGCGAGGCTTCTAGCATCCTTGCGCCGCTGCCACCTTGGGTTCAAGATTTCAATTTTGCGATCCGGACGATGGGCTGTCACCTGGACCATATGCACGCAGCCGGCACACTGACATTCAGAAGGTCGGCCCTGTACAAACGATCCCACAGCCATCCACCAGAACTGCAACTTCCGGAGGGACACATCCACCTAAGAGCTGCGATGGGCACGGTCTTGACGTTGGCCTTGCCCGAGGAGCCACAGTTGGTGCTTTGCCTCAAATGGGACGAGGGAGTGGGCTGTGGACTCTTGAGCTGTAGTGCATGTCTAGAACAGGGAAGACAGAGCCTTGTTGATTTGCTGTACCGAGAACGTGCCCCGGGACAGCACGGAGCAGAAAAACCTCCGCAGCAGGGATTTTGGGCTGAAGGCGCCGTCATGCAGTTTTCAGCACACCCTACTCAGTCTGCTCCATCTGCAGCTCTCGCGGTTCACTTCCTGTCCAGGTTTCGAGCTCTTGCCCCGAGGAAGAGATCTGTTGCATCTGCCTCGAGGGGCATTCCACGGTGCAGCTGCCCTGTGGTCACAGGCAAGGATTTCCTTGAGAGTGTGGAGGAACTGAGACTCCAGCCCCGGTTGCACACTGAAGGTATCACGCAGA